CAATACATACAAGTACAGTACAGTATTTTCTGAGGAAACACTCGTACTTATTTTTTTTAACCCCATTCCCGATAACCCGGCATTTTCACAAACTCAGCCACCCTTCGGTCCACATTAGGCCGAGTTTTCGAGGTTCTACTATATTTGTAAAAAGTAAAGTTAAAATTCAGTTGAACATGTTAGAATTAGAAAATAAAATTCATTAAAATAGCAACCACTTTATACAAGGTAGTCCATTTTAATCAATCTAGTGAAATAACTCAAAAAATATGCATCCTATGAAAAAAAATCATTAAATCAAAAATGTTAACTTCGAGGGAAACACAAGATGGGACTATTGGTTTCATCATAGATGGCACTACAATCGGTGAAAAACAGAATGCAATGCTCATTTTCTTAAATGGTTCTATTTTAAGAAAATGAAGTTGATGAGGTTTAATTTCTTTCTTTCTTAGGATGCATATTTTTCAAGTGATTTCATTAGATTGATTAAAATAGACTACCTTGTATATAAAAGAGTAGCATTATAACAACTTATTAATAAACTTTCAAAAAATTTTAAAATTAACATTTTTGAATGCCGATTTATTGTTTTTGATAAACTTTGTACCTTAAATAATCAGGCATAAAATGAAAGATATTCATTTTATGCCCAATCATTTAAGGCAATAGTTTGGTTATGTTTCTATGAATATCTTTCATTTATCATATAATTACTGTCTTTTTATGAATGTTTTACAGATATTTCCAATGTCCTAATTATAAATTATGCTATGAGATAATGACAATATTCAATTATTAAAGTGACAATATGTTATTAAATTAAAAAAAAGTTAAGAAAACATTTTTGAAATTTTATGATTTTTAAATCATTGAAGTTAATTTGCAATTGAAAAGCATTATATACAGTTGAACCTGTCTATCTGAAAAATCTCTAAATTTATTTTTCCCCTACATTTTCAGTCTAAATTCAATATATTTTCCATGTTTATCTCAAATAAGTTTCTCCCAAAATCTTTATATCTCAAATTATGGACTGAAGTGTCAATTATAAATTAAAAGCTCAGCAACTACATTTTGATAACAAATTGAAGATGAGAAACATCTCTTGCAATATCACACATAGTTGCAATTAATGTTGCTTTTCTTTTATTGGCTACAAGTTTGGCTTGTGTCTTACTGATTAAATAAAGTCAAGCATGAGAAACTATTGATAAACTATTTCTGTTAAGATATGTCAAAAATGTAAAGTAATTTTATTTATACCTAATATCATAGTATAAATACTGTACTTGCTGTTGTATTAATAAAATACAATACATACCTCTGATCAAACTCATTACTGTTTACTTTGTAGGAACCTCTATATTCAAAACCAATCTCTGTTGTATTTTTTCTCATTCCCACAAGATTTGAGATAGACATGTTCAATTGTATATACTTAATTATGTAATTATTTCTTACTTTGAAATTCCGTACTGACGAAAAACCACTCTGATCTCGTTGATACTCATAACGTGAAAAAGGTCCTTTTAAGACTGAACCAGAATGTTTAATGTCCACAACTTCTTCAACAGAAATAACACCCCAGTGAGATACTTCAATTGAACGTTCCAAATTTGTTACAGTTAAGAAAGGATTATTATTTTCATAATGAACTGTCATTTTATTCTAAACAAAATAAATATTTATTTAAAATTTATTATTAAAATCTCAATAAAATCAATAAATTAAGAAAAAAAAATACTAACCAAAGAAAATGGAGCAACATTTTCATATGGTCCATATGTGATCATGTTATCTGTATGTGAAACTGGTTTTAACTTGCTGTAGGATTCAATTGCAGTAGATGCTAATGTAACAGTTGTTGTTTGAATCCTTGTTGGATAAGGAGAATAAAAATAGTGATTTCCATGATATAGTACAAGTTGTTTTTCAGATTGAGTTATATGAGAAGGATATGGAATCAAACTTTGTGTTAACACATGTTCAACTTCTACAGAAACTGCCTTTCCTGGTTGTAATGGATTTTTCAAATGAATTTTGAAGTTTCTGATTTGAGTATCCCTAATTAAATAAAGTGAAAATAATTTTTAAAAATCAGGTACATTTTTCTAAACACACAAAAATTTTACTTTAAAGATGATATAAAATAAAAAAGAAAAATGTTAAAAGAAATTTTACTTAATACAGCAGTCAATATGGCTGTTGCTGTGTCATTGAGAAAATTGCTTCATGTCACTTCACTATTCCCAATTAGGCATGTTATTGCATGTGATATTCAATTTATAACTTATATTCTTTGTCCAAACTCATAATAGAAGCTTATTTTTGCCTAAAATACCTATGCCAGTTATCTTATTTGCATATAGAACAGAAAACTCTTTGAATGGGCCATTGAGATGGCCCATTTGAACTCAAATCAAACCAAATATAGAAATCATAATAATGGAATGTCTTGTGTATAGTAATCAAAATTAAATGTTTTCTTATTATTCAGTTCAAGAAATGGCTGAAAACATTACAAATTCTAAAAATAATTATACATAATACATCTTCCTTTATAGGGGGCAACCTATTTTTATTTAGTTTCTTCCAAGTATTTTTAATTTCCAAAGTATCAAGTTTCTGAGAGCATATTTTATTGCACTTCCCTTTGACAAGGGAAATTGAATAAAATACAAACTGGCCCTCTTCCAAAGCTGTGGAAATTTATTTGCCATTTCACTTCCTATCCAGAATTTTTTTTATTTTGTTCATATGTATCTTGAGCTTCAAGTATATGCATTCTAAACATCCACATGCAATAAGCCTAAAAATTAGAAGTAATCATCTTTCAAAAAAAAAAAAAGTGGCATGCATTACATACAAGTGCAAGATTTGACATGTCTTCATTTACAAAAACAAATTATGGGCCAATAACAAAACATTTTAGGTTTAAAATTTTTTTATCAAGTTTACTTTCATAATTTGTTTAAGCATAATATTTTAATAATTTACATATGTTTCTCTAAGATTAACTTATTGAAGTTTAATCATTTTGATAAATTTTAATATTTTATTCTGACTGTGGCCACCCTAGTTTGCTTTGGCTCCTCAAAAGTTGAATTTTGGCCTGTAACTTTCTTAAAATGTTCTGTGGTCCAGACCAAATGGCCCCTGGCTGAAAAACACTACTCTATGAGAAAGATGTGTTGATCTATGTGATGGTGTATTTTGTAGTGTGTAGGAAGGCAATTGATTGGTCTGCATTGTGTAGTGTCTTTGGTTTCATGTATGTGAAATCTTATGCAAGAAATTTTGGCATGTCTTATGGATTGTTTACTATGTGCATAAAATGTTTGGCTAGTTCCTAGTGCAGAGATATAAATTTTTTGTACCAGACATTGTGAATGTTGTCTGCACCAGATGTATGTTGTTTGAATTGCATTTTGGATATCCTGTATGTTTATTTCAACATGAGGAATAATTGGTGTTTTATGCATAGTTTTTCTTCCTCTGATCCAGGTTGCTTCATTTCTGTATGATTGAATTGGACCAAAACATAAACCAACAATATCCAAGTTGTTTTTCTGTTAGCATACCATAATGCTATGATTGCATGGTGGGTTTGGTATTTAGTCATCTGTAGAAAAGTGCCATATTGTTTGTGAATAATTTATTTTGTTCTTTTCAAAAGGTATAGGTTTTATATTGTTTCATTCTTTGCAACTTGGCTGCTAGTTTTTGTTTGAGAGTGTCAAAGTATTCCTGTACATGCATATTGTGTTGTTCATGGTGTGTGTTTGTGTTTTAATACCCTTGAATATTTTTGTAAAACATTAAACTTAATGAAAAAAGTATGTTGTTTTTAGTATATTATATCAGCCCGAATAGTTATCTAATGTTACATATTTATGTTTCTAGTCTTCTTTGCTAAGCAGATTTATGATCTGTCTGTGTTTTAATTGTCTCTAACTGTGACTGTCATTTAAGGCCATGTTATGTAATAACAGTGATTGCAGCAGAATTACAGGTTGCAAATTTACTGACATTTTTCTTACCAGTAAAACAGTACATTTTCAAAACATTACCAATTTACTAATAAATTACCAGTAACTTTTAAATTTTGACTCTATACAAATATTAGCACATAATAATTGTTTAGTTGCTGCCTCATTGGTGAACAAAAACTACACAATCACTATAGTCAGCATGGCAAAAGAGTAGACATGAGCCAGTCTGAGCAGGAAGGTCTACATCCAATAAAAGGGGTGAAAGGAGTTATGTGGGGATTGACACATGGATCCCATATTTTAAAAAAGGAAAATAATAAAATTATTTATGAGATATATTTTTAAGATGTTTTTATATTGTCTAAGAAACATAACAACTGAGAGAGATCAGATCCATGTGTCAACTCCCACTTATCTCCTTCCATCTGACATAGACCCTCCAATCCAGGTTAACTCATATCTTGTTCACTGTGCTGACCTTAGTGAGTACACTATAATTAAATTTCCTTTCTTCTATTTTAAAAAGCAGTAGTTTCATTGCCTAAAGAAAGACCAAGCTGCAATTTTTTAGTTTATGTGATTAAATAGTAACTAGTGTGAGCACTCAACTTTAAATATTTTTTGTTTGGTCAACTAAAATTGCTATTAAACTATGGGTATTATGGGTTAAGAAACAAATTGCCAAACTGTCAGCAGAGTGCAGTAATATGATACTTTAAAAAATTTTAAAGAACTGTAAAGTAATAATTTAAAAGATAAATGACAAACTACTTTTTCAGTTCAAATAAATAAATTGATTACTTCTATGTCTTTAATATATAAAAATATACATGGAAGTGTATACAAATAAATGTTTGACTTCAAAAATTATTATACATTATCTATTTTTACCAATTTTCAGTATATTTACTGAGGTATTTTTTTTTATACAATTACTGGTAAACTGTTTACTGGTAATGCAATCTCTAACCAGAATAGATTAATGTATATATGCCCAGAAGTGTTAATTCTAGTTGAATGTGTTTTGGTAATACAGTAGATGCATATTTAGTGTAGAGTTCCCCATTTGTTTCAATGTGTATATTTTCAATATTCATGGTCTGTGTGGAATCTAAAAATGTATATTTAGTGAGTGTTTCAAAATAAACTTATGAGTATGTCAAAATTAATTCTGTGTCTATAGTGTGTCACAGGTTTTAATTATTGTTCTTATATTGTCATTAGTGCATGTTATATTGTGTAAATTTTTATGAGTGACTTATGCTAAGGTACTGTCAGTGAGTGAGGGATCATCTGTGTGACGTTTTGATGTATCTATTCTGCAACTTGTTGTTTGATATGTTCAAGCATTGTTTGTGGAATAAACTTATTTATAATTGTTTGATTCTGATGAAACCGTGTTGTTGTTATTAAGCTGTTTCTTTGCAGACACACTAAGGTGACATATATCAACACTTGGCAACTTATTGACTATTTATAATTATTTATAATTGTTCTTTCCTGATCAACACTTCTTCCTCTAACAGTGAGATGTGGGTATTTTTGTGTGAATCTGTTATTTAGTCTGTAAACTGTCATGTCTGTTTTAGGGTTTCTGGTATAAGAATTCCTGAAACCCAATTCATCAGAATCTTGACAAATTTCCAAAAGTCAATTACCAAGAATTTTTTTAGCTTTTAAAACTTAAAAAAAATATTTTATACACGTTTGCAACTAACAGTTATTTTTACTCTTGATCAACTAAAATTTTCACTGTAAGCTATCTGCATACAAAAAGGGCTTCATAGGGAATGATTTGACTGTTTTTTCATAAAACACTTTTACTATATTTATATAAAAGTTCAATATTTTGTTCAAAAACTTTTCTATAGTTTTTATATTTTTTCAAAGTATTATGTCCAATATGTAGCCATAATATTTTAAGATACAAGTAAATGTTTATCTTAAAAATATTAGGAAACATATTTACAAATAATTACAAAATTTTAGGATTTGTGATGTTTTAAACTGTAATAACTTATTTTTTACAGAATCCTAATATGTAAATTATGTTTTATGAACAATTTTATGAACTGTTACTTTGGGATTTCTAGGACGTCAACAAACTTCCTTATTTTTAACTTTCAATCAGCCTAACTTTTCTTCCATGCAACTTGCTGGATTGACCTGTTTGATATTTTTGGCCTCCACTTCTTTCTTGACCTTACAAACTTGTGCATTCATCTTCAAATTGAGAACACCACACTAAGAACTGTTTTGTGATATTACAGTTTTTTTCATAAATTTCAACAAATATATTTATGTATTTCCACAGTGATAATTGTTTAGGATGGAGAAACCAAATTACAGAAAGTAACTGTATTTTCATATAGCAAGAAACTGCCATTTTTAAATATTTGGAACATAAAACAAATCAAACTCATTTCCATACAGATGACCACACCCTAGCACAACAGTTCCCAACCTTTTTCGGGTGGCGACCCCTTTTTATAAAAGCCAAGTGACCCGCAACCCCGATACTATTGAAAAAGACATTTTTAATAAGGTAATTAAAAAAACAATGAAATTACGGTATTTAATTTACATACTGTACAGACGATAGTAAACTCAACTTACTCGCCTAAACTCTCCGTAGCGTGGCGCTGGACGGCAGAAAGTAGTTTGGCTGCCCGATGACGTTTTACCAAATTATAGGAGTTTTTTTTTACCATGTTTATACAGACACCGTCGCAATTTTTTCGCCGTCATATAGGAATCCGTGTTATAGGGGGATCGACTGTATATCAAATTATTCAAACTTCAAGACACCATTAAAAATAAAAATTGCATTATAGACTTATAGTGAACATTTTTTTTTAGTTAACTGTATAAGTTGGCGACCCCACAGAAAGCCCGTCGCGACCCATAGGTTGGGAACCCGTGCCCTAGCATATGCCATGAAAAAGCTATGATAAAAATGAATAAGAAATTATTGTATTTTACTTTTGGAACATGCCTTGTATATGCTGGTGTATAATTTAGTGAAGGACATGAATTGTGCTCTAATGGTGACCATCAACCAAAACCATGAATCAGTTGCTTGAAGA